TGGGGTGAGGGTGAGGGTGAGGGTGAGCCCCCGCCGGTCCGATTTACCGCACGTTCGTGGCCAGTGTGGGGACGTGCAGCCTCCGGGCCCGCCAGGCCTGCCGGCTCCTTTTCGCAGTGGACGCCAGGCCCCTTCTGGTCTGACGCCTTTCCCAGCGAGGGTGCTGGCCGCCCGCTTACCTCCGCCTCAGTTCCTTGCTGATGAAAGGAGCCGAAACTGACCTCGCGGGGCTGCTGTGAGGACTAGCCAGTGGGAAAGCTGTTGGCAGTGCCTGGCGCACAGTCAGAGCTTAATAACGGTCGGCCATTCCGCGCCCAGGCGAAGATTGTCGGAGTGGACAGCGGGCGGGGTGTCAGTGGGTGCCCGTGCGAGGGCAGGGTGCCCTCCGGGCGACAGGGCAAAGGCTGACGCCCGATGATTCTGTGCCACTCTTCAGGCGCCCGGCCCGCCGTCAGCGGCCAGGAGGCCTGTCGGTCCTTCTTTCCGACGCTCCCACCGTAGCCACATCCACACCTCTGCACTCTGACGGTAGCAGGTTTTTCCTATTGCTGCATCCCCTTTCAGGGTGGTTTGCGTTTTCCCTCACCCCCTTTCTTATCGGCTGGCCAGCGGGGTCACCAGCTTCCTGCACACAGCAGTGTTAGGGATGCTGGAAAACCGAGGTCACTCCAGGTTTTACCTCAGCAGCAGAGTGAAAAAGGTGGGGATTCCACAAAATTTAATATGAAAAGTCCCAGTGTTTGGTGGGTCTCCGGGGAGTGGTTATATTGGTGGTGATTCTGTAAATTGATCTAATCTTTTTGGAGAGCAACTAGCAGTATGTGATAAAGACTGATTATGGAACCCCAGTTTTAAAACAGACTCCAGTATGCAAACCCTGTGTGCTCCACAGCCAGTAAGCATGTTCTGGCAACCCCGTGCCCGTCCTTGCCTCCCAACAAAATGTGAACCAGTTGGATCCATGGAAATGTGTTCAAAAACGTGGCTTAACCAAAAGGGCGAAACAGTGCGTACACAGCAATTATACTGTTGTAAAAATATGCGAGGACGTGGACAAGGGTCAGAGGGAAGTTAGAATGATATCCGTAGTTTTGCTCAGTCATAGGATTGTCTTCCCCTGAGCTGCTATTTGGTTTGTAGCCATTTCAAATTCTAACGCAAAAAGTGTCTGCAATGTTGTAGGATGCAGGGGCGGCTT